ATCACCGGTCCTACAAAGAGAATGAGACAAGTGAAATGTCCCAATATTTTCAACGGTTTAGCAAAATACCAGAGTAGAATTTCCTTATGAGCACATGGTTCCAACCACGACAACCCATAAATTCTAAATACTTCATTTATTACTATTCAGTTCAACCATTTTCACCCGCTTCTCAGATTCAAAATATTCTGAGCTAATGCTTGTCTTAAAAATTATCCATGCCTCCTTTTACGTTTGTTTGACCATAATTTCTTCTGCGCTTCTTTACATATAATCTTCCGAAAACCGACGTCCCAATGTGTAACAGTGCGGAGGAAACGTTTTATTTTCGGACGTCTAAGAATCATGTCAGACACAAAACATCTTGCAGAAACTTTTGCCAGCTAAAATAATATACATGTATCAACAGAAGTGTAAATTTTATCGCAAAGAATTAAATCCAGTATCTAGAACCCCTTACAACTCGAGTATGTTTTTACACACAAGTGGTTCACCGTTCTTACAGGGCCATTTATATTCATATTCATTTGAGAAATTCTTACCATCAGACTATTTGGTCTACACGTATAAATTGGTTGTAAGTCAAGGTGCCAAGTGAGCAAGATTGCGTTTTAACGTTAAATATCGCTAATGACTTTCATGTATTATCTGTCCCAAATGGCCCACAAAGTTTGAAACAAAACGAACAAGCTGAGAGCACCTCTTTCTTAGATAATACGTTACCATTTTGGAGCCTGTGCTTGGTATTTGACTCTTCATTCGCTGTCGCATACATCAGAGATGGTAGGGTGGCTGGACTCCAAACGATTTGTTGTGACAGGTATTAGTGTAGATAATTAAACCATTGCCAGTTACAGTCACAAATTTGCTTGACAGCTCCCCAACGAACAAACGTGTCACACCACCACGTTCCTCGTATCTGAAGAATCATAGAATATATGTGTTAGCGGGACATGCTCAATGCAAGACTGCTATGGTGCACGATGACTGGATATGAATTAGCCAAAAAGCGCTAGTCGATACTCGGAGAACACCCTAGAATATTCTCACGTAAAGTTTTTCTCATCGTACTTTTTACTTCCATCTAACTTTGTTATTTGGAATATAATCTCTTTCCTGTTTAACGGTGTTCTGATTTAGGAACTTTTCGAGTGAATCGGTGTCCAAGATTACTAAGCAATAGGAATAGCTGGGTTGTAATACGAGAGAATTATAACAACATGTAATTCCAACCTCCGTTTACTCACGCTCGAACTTAAGGAAAATGGGATAAACAACTGAGCTACATAATCCGAATAGTGTATCCATTATACCGAGCAAAACTCAACAGTCCACCAACCAACTTGTCCCAGCTCAATATTTTCATAGAAATCTCTTAGTATCAGCCAGACGAAAACGTACAAGAAGCTGCCAGTCCTAGTTATGGAACCTAGACGATGGCTTCTATACGAGCTCTCTTCGAATTATCGGCTAAGTAGCCTTTTCCATAACAAGACTCAATTTGTCGTGCACAAAGCTCCACCTCACGTTTGACGGCCTCATGAACAAGTTACGTGTTTTTGATGTTCGTGCAATTTTTTCGAACCTCTGTTACCAGATTTTTCCCTTGAAATTTGATTGGCACTGAAAAGTTTCAGCCCGTATGACACTTGCAACTGCAGTAGTGCACCTTCTAACTGAGTAGTCAAACTTAGTACCATCAGGTATGCCATCACTAGATAATACCATGTTCACTTCTCCAGTAAAACTGGGAAAGTCTGCTGAGTCATGGAAAGATCCTTGGGAATATACCTCGGAAACTCAAGTGCTGTTCCATTTTGACAATCTGGGGTAGTTTGCTTATCCCCTATATCGCCTTTATCAGGCATAATAGTAAGCAGACCATCAGTGTTATTAATCAACATTCATATTAAACCGAACGCCCACATCCATTTGCGAATCCAGACATTGTAACCTAAGAGCCAATTTACAGCATTCAACGTCCCGTAGAATCACTGTCTTTCCTCATAGAAGAATGAGGCCAACAGAAAATGAAATTGACTAAAAAACCAGACCATTTGTAAAGTTTAAACTGCAATCAATCAACAAACTGATTTCCAGAGATGTCGTAAGTTAGGAATGGTCAATTTACAAGATACGTAAGAAGATACCAATACAATCAAATTACATGACACGGAACTTATCATAAAAGACCCAAGTAAGGATGTTTGATAGAAGCTTGAATCAGTAGTACAGAACCTCTGAAAATGTTCAGCAGTTAATTATAGCAGCAAAAAGACTTTACCCTGTGAAGCATCTCCTCATTCTCTGGGAACACAAAAGACCCGAGAACAACAAACAAATAAACTTCAGCAAGACCAATGAAGACAAATAAATGAACGCGTCGGTCTGGCAAGCTTTAACTTGTCTTCCTACATACCTTTTCTGCCTTTTGGAATAAGCTACCAGCCAGAATTTGGGAAAAATTCGATAGAAATCACTAAGTAGACATCTAAACCATTCTAAGGAAATGGATGAGCTGACAATCTATTCAAAATCTAGCGCTTTTAGTAATATACTTGGCATTCTCAAGGTGGTAAATAACTCGATAAACTCTAAAGCATTAATATAAGGCTACTAGTCATCTCTTAAAATGCTGGTTAATATTGTACTTGTATTATTTACAATACTCAACTTAGATCGTTGGTTTACAGGCTAGATAAATAAACAAATACACACCAAATTATTATTCACAAACAGCTTATGGGTATGTAAGTGTCATTAATAAACTGTTTTTGGCCTCTTCAGAAATGCAGTAATAAGTTACAATAATGTTAGCATAATATTTGCCATATTTAAAAAAGGTTCTTTGTAACTGAGAGGAGCATTGAGTTGACTTCAAAGAAGGAAAGCGAGAAAATAAGCTAATAGAGACTGAAGAAACGCGAAATACGTAAGTAGTTTAATAAGCGTGTTTGTGAACACGGAATATGAGTAAATGATTATGCATATATCACCAGATGAATATAAAGAGAAAAAATGAAAAAAATTAATAAGGAAATAAACCATTATTGCAGTGAGGTTTGACTGCAGAATAAGTGTTTGTGCAGTAACAGTTTAGAGTGGTGCTATAAAAGTTTCAGTTAACTGCGAAGGATAATTAAATGTCAGTATGTATGGGTCATGATGAATCTGAAAGTTAGTTTATTTAAGTGTGACACAAGATATTGTCTTAATTGGAAACTTCGGACGCTTAAGGATAACATTTGTTTAGAAGATAGGTGACAGACCTTGATAGTCTACAAGCTGGATTGTGTCAGCCTTCTGAGATTGGTTGAAGTTTTGGAAGCTACTCATTATCTAAACACCAAGCATTACCCTGTTTGAACTTCATAATTACTACGACCGCTAAGTTATCGTACCTATTTTTTCCTTGAGAAGCTTCACACATAACAGTATCAGCCATACTCGACACTATTTCAGTAGATGCGGCAAAAATATTTCTGTTGAAATGAAGCGGATCGAAACCTAAGAATTCAATTCTCGAACTGTCTTTGTCAGTTTTTAATACATATCGTGATACAACACACAAAATACGTACCGAAATCTTAATACTCCATCATATGCCTTCCTTCATACTTCCAAAACAGGTCTCTTTACCAGAAGCCTGTCACAGCAGTTATCTGGAAACTAGTAAAACGACGCCAAGATATATACTAAAAACTGTGATTTCAACCGTAAAACAGCACTTTATCTTTCTCATATCATTTTAAGCCATCAGTTTTTCGTTGTAAAGGCGCACATACGTCGTTCACTCTTTCTATCCCAGGTTTACTTCCATTTATTGTATTTTTTATGCATCAACAACTGTTATTTTGTTTCTACAGAAAAACATAATTATACCTAAATTAAATAATCCAGTTTACTGCCGTAAATTCTGTAACATTTCTGTCAATTTGGTTTCGCTCATGAATTGGCATGCCTCACTTAGCTTATTATTATTTGAAAATAAATGGTGATTGTCACCACACCAATCTTTTGTCCAGTCAAATAAATCAAGGGAACCGATACGGAAGCTACATTTACAATTTCAAACCCAATAATTACCACTTTAAAATCTGAGTGTCTGAAAATACAAACTTATCAGGATCTCGTTTTTATGATAGTCTTTGTCAATTAATTGGGATGTCGTTTATTATGAAATTTTCAAAACAACAACTCGTGCCCAAAAGTTTGATTAATCTCACGCTCACTGTTGGTTCACCACTGAAAATAATAATTTGTGCCATAGAAAAAACATACAGGAAAGGAACCATTGAAGCAGTACTGTCCAGGAAAATGAACTTAGTTGAAGAAGAATATTTGACCCCTTGTATAGATGCAAAATCAAACCAATGATAGCACCCTCATAAACACCTTTAAGTTAGACTCCAAAGGATATTAGTGATATAAAGTGCTTCCTTGGACCATTGTGTGATCCCTGCCCTTACACAAGCTTCCCGTAAAACAGTAAAACCAAAAGTCGATAATGAAGGGTTGGGACGATGTATTTGAGTAGTGATTGATGCTTTGAATCGCGTTCGCTATATGCCGTGAAAAAGCAAAGTACGGTTTACCCAATCGCCATTTGACACAAGTGATTGACCAAGAGCCTTCAGCATGTGGTGTGTTCAGTAGGGCTAGTGTCGAAGATCTACTAAACTAGTTCTTCTGGAGAGTTGCTAACGCCACACCGCCAATCGAGCCTACGTCTTAATTTTAAATTAAACTTAAAAGTGCTGATAACTTTTGAAGCCTAGTCACAGTTTTTCAAATCTTTACATAATGAGCACCAAAATTCGTACTCTTAAGCCGTTGTTGATGACGCATAAGTATGGCAGTGTTACTTCTTCCATTTTGAACTTCTTAGTATCACAATAAAGCAAAAGTAATTGGTATATAACATTGAAACCGTATGTTCGGTCTTGGATCTTGTTTGTTTGGACTATAACTGGGAGGCGTTTTTGGTTAGTTCTCTGAAGATGGCTACTGTTCTCCCGAAGTTTTCTGATTTGTATAGTTTGAAAGAAGAAGTAGGGCGGTAAGTCTCGAAATAAATTTAGTTAGTTTATCTTACTTAATGTCCGTTGATCACATTATAACGATAAGTTTTTCTGTATTCTCAGTGGGGCATTCTCAATTGTTCGAAAATGCATTCAGCTCTCAACAGGTTTAGAATTTGCCGCTAAGATCATAAATACAAAACGTCTGTCAACCAGAGGTAGGTTTTTGATTGTTGGGTTTTAATTGGTTTCCTCGGACTTTTCATGAGCTATAAAATTTGTTAGTTTATTCCCTCAGGATTTACTGATTCAATTGTTTATATCCAATGTTCAGTATAGTGACTACCTTAATGGGACGAAAAATATTTGTATTAGGAGTGCGTGCGATTATGCTCGTATATATCTAAGTCAAGCGCTTGCATCTCTACCCCTTTAGTTCTGCAATCCATAATATAAGCTATAATCGACTTCTCAGAATGCTTAGGAATACAAATCATTTACAGTAAATGCCCGAAACTTGTGTTCTAAGTAGTCCCACGACTCTTATCTTAAATGACAGTTAATTTAGGTCTTTCCTGTCCTTGCTATGTGATGTTCGGTTTTGCCCATGCTGCACCAACCAATTTTCATAGTGACTCTAAGTACTACCAGTCGGTGGGCTAGATGCAACGTGAAACCAGGCACATGAGTACGTTATTCCGACTTGTCATACTCGGTTATCATAGGAAGATGAAATAGGGTGAATCCCTAGAATGGTAAGGGTAATGGTTACTGGTGGAGGCAAAAAAGACTAGGCATCTAAGATACGATTTTGGAAAATATGAATCAGTAAAAGAGGAATTTCTAGGAGGTTCGGGAACTTCAGATCTAAGTTGTGACGCAACTTTTTACATCGGCTTCAATGTCTGGTATGGATAAATGATCTTAGTTTAGGTTGTCAGACAGTAAATCGCTTGACATATATAAGCCATCCTGACCCTAACGTTAATTCCTCTAAATATCATTATTTTTCTTCTAGAGACTACCGAAATACTAGCCTATTTGCCAAGAACTCCATCTCATAATTGTCAAATTTTTGCTTAAATTCATGTTGAGGATGAATCTATTAATGTGACTTAAGATCATACACACTTTTGACCTAGGTTATTTGACCAATGACGCAAAATACTCATCCAAGTGGCTTGGCGTTTTGCAAGCGTAATTTTTGTGTACCTAATTTCAACAAATTATATGTTTTCATAAGCATCCTACGTACTTGTTTTAACATACAAATAACCTACAGCAACATCTTGTTTGCAGACATGCAGAAGTTGGAACGCGAGGCCAGAATATGCAGGCTCCTGAAGCACCCTAACATAGGTAAGTGTTACCTATCTTTTGCTTAAAAGCTATGTTGGCTTCTCGAAAATGTCACCTAGAGTAAGCGTGTTTGCATGTTCTCTAACATTTTAAGAAATAATAGTTTTATAGGGTTCCATCAAAACCGGTCGTTTCGATCGAAGTCTTCGAGTCCGATATTCTCATTTTACAGCTTGTTATACTAGTTCACTATTTGAATGTATTCCTTAGATAAATCCAGCACTTCTGTCCGTCCTTTCAGTGTTTGAGTACGCGAAGTTCGGCACCCGAGCAGTATCATAGCCCGCACACAAATCAATGGAATTGTGTGGCGCATATGTATTCGGTGCCCCTTTGTAACAATAATTATCTGTTCAAATAAATAAGTATGCAAACAATTTGTGAAACAAAATGTGTTGTGCTTCTACTTTTACTTCTATGTCCTTCAAATAAGTGAAATACTTATTGATGGACCAAGTTCTCGTCCAATATCTCAGATTCGTAATTGCTTCCTGAAATTATGGTTATGATGGTTTTCTACTAAGTTTGTGTAAGTCAAAAATCTATGACTCATTAATATCAATGAAGTATGAAGTATAGAAGCGTCACTATCACTAAAACTTTCCAAACTACTAATTTGTCTTTGAACTCAGTACAAAAAGACAATAACGCTGCTTACGATCGTCGTGCTTTCTTAAACATGTTATCACATGACCAAGCATCTTACTAGCTGTCGAAATAAAACAGGGTCAAGAAATATAATCTAGCTACAGTAGTCAATCTATCCGAACCGTTCCATATTATCACCTAAAGTAATCTGTCACTGACCTATTTTAAGTAGATGAAATCTAGAAAAAGCTCAACCACAGACATGCATTTTTTTAGAAGGCTAGAAACAAAGGGATTTTCAAGTCAAATGTTCATTAGGGTCTTATTGTTCAGCCTATCTTCCTCTTTATAGTACTACAAATAATCATTGCTCACTGGGGATTTTCTAATCAGCACTTCAAGTCGTAGCTTTTGGGAGTTTGAGTGGTCTTAGTTAATTGGATACCAAATAGTTCAGTGGCTGACAAACTAGGAGCTGGTCCTAACGTGTTATCTCAGTTCACGCTATCAATCCAAGAAAGTTCAACAGGTTGAGGCAAGATATGGAAATAAGTGTGCTAACAACGGTCGTAAAATAAGGAGGTAAAGTACATAAAAGACAAGTTGTTCAAGACAAAAAAGGTAGAGATATGTTGTAGATCTCCTTACCACCGTAATCAGCTTCAAATCATACCATCTAGTTTCGAGCCACCTATAACGATCGTTTCTTGAACTATAACAAAGAAGGCTACATCCACCTGTACACCGCAGGTTTAGGAGAAATATATCTATGATCTAATTCCATGTTTTGAGTTGGTCACGTTAACCTCTTCTAGCATACCCTCTAGTCGACTTGGTTAAGGTAGGTCGTGATTAGGTCTACGTCACACGTCCTAATTGTTGGAGGTTCACAGCTTTATCACTCGACCTACATCACTTGTGCAAAACACTACACCTAGCATCAACACCATTTACTTGATAGCTCCAACACACATAAAAAATGCTCCGAAAATACTTCTAGAATGTCATTCGTTTTCGGTAACCATTTAATAGTCCTAAGATGATGTTTAATGGACTCAAGTTCCAGATTCGCTCTTTTGTATATACCCACGTATCGCACCATTATCGGTTGGTTCAATCAAAAAAACTCAACCGAGTGATTTTAATCCTTAGGGAGACTTGTCAGTCACTGACTCCTCAGAACTACTGGCAAATAATCAGTTCACCCGACTACGTATATGGTCAACTTGTGAACGATGTCAGTATTATATAAGAAAGAGGGGGTACTGACAGCAAGTAACCATCATTCTCAGTTGGATGGAATAGCATTTCAGACTCTATCACTTATAAATTACCGAATGACGAGTGCATTACTCAACTTCATTATTGGCATTTGTAGTTTAGAACGCTCAATGTCGAAGGATAAACATATGTAACTCATTCTCAAAGTATGACTTTTAGCCATACGTTTTGTGTAGGAGCTATTGATGCTAAATTGCTTCCTAAAGTGAGACAGGCAAAGTTTTAGTCTAAAGCTGCAAGTTATTGGTTGAAATTAACATGGTTTTACCACAAAGCCACATCCCTATTTATCATGTGTGTACGTGTACTTCCTATCTACCTCTTGGGTTGGTATTTTATAATCATTCTTCATTTTTTTAGTTCGCCTATACGATGACATTCAGGACGAAGGGTTTCACTACCTCGTATTTGATTTGTGAGTTTTGTATCTTCAAATTGGTTACTAGTATTAAATGTGATCAGAAAAACAAGTGATTTTTATGTTTATATATATATATATATATATATATATATATATATGCATCAAGAAGACATGTTGAGCATCTGATTTCCTGCTACCTTGACGCATAACGTGAAGGTATGGAAGAACGACTTTTGTGTTTACAAGATGTAGCTGCCCATGGATTCTCTGTTTTAGTTCCTTTATTTGAGTTTTCGGAATTCTCAGTTTGACGTTCTTTAGCATAACAATCCTCACAGACACTTAATCAGTGACAACCCAATTCATATTGACAATAATTTTCATTTGATTAACAGTAAACAGCTGCCCCCCCCCAAGTTCATTACGCAATAAGGATTAGAGTAAGTTTGGAGTCACGAGTGATCATGGATCCAACCATTTTGGCGAGTGGATTGATATAGCTTCCAAGAAGTAACTAATATTTGCTGTATCTCCTCACAAAGGAAATCGGTAGTGATCTTGTTGTAACAAATAGACTACTATTACTAACATCTCATGTGTCGCATGTTATTATTCGAAATGTAGCGCACGTATGTATACAGGATATCTTCTGAGTTAGCTTAGAATCAGTGACGTTCGTAAAGTCAGTGCACTATGTTTGTTCCTTTCGATGGAAGTGACATCCTGACAGCTAACTCTTAGTTGAAGTTTGCCCATGTCATAGTGGAAAGAGTGAAAAATTAGGGATCTTGTGTTTGGATAATAATTGTTGTTTGTGGCATTCGTGCTCCGTTAATAGACTAACACCAGACTTGTTATCCATATGTAACGCCCACACAGTTAAACTCATACAATAATCATTCGTACTTATCACTTCTTCGCACATAAAGACAAACGGTAGATGCATTCAAAGTAGCCAGACCTATGTCAGTTTTTTTTGTATAGACTAAAGCTGGCAGAGTAATGAAATCACAAGGATATCCAAAACGTAGTCTCTATATATTTGCTGTCTCAGGAATAATTTCACAGCATGGATAAGAATTAATTAAAAATGAAAAAGTGCATTTACTAATTATTACTGAGTGCCAAATTGTATCTTATGTTCTCATCTATCACAATTCTTGTGTACCGATCCTAGCGGACGTGTTTTGATCCCACATTTATTACCGGATTTCTCAACGTATTATCATAAATACTCCAACCTCCCACTTCCACGCTATTTCACACCTGTGTTCTGTATATAGTTTATTTACTGAGTGAGCCGATGCAGTGAATTCTTACGTTTTAAATTATTTCAAAGCTAAAAATTCACTGTTTGAAACTGGATGAATTGTATTCCCTTCATATATTTTTGTGTGTCGCTGCAGTTCAATAATCAAGTACTTTTTCATCTACTAAGCTTTAAGATTTTGTTCGCGTATGTGAGAAAGCCAGTGATCTCATCCGACTGCTCAAACCGGTGTAGACAAGACAAGGCTCAGACTCACGACCTAGGAGTTGACTGCTGGCACTACTTATCAAATTTACACTATAATGATAATCCTATTAATATTCTAAATTATATGTTGTTTTCATCATATGATTGTATTAAAATTAATCTTTTTAGGGTAACTGGTGGTGAACTCTTCGAGGACATTGTTGCTCGAGAATTCTACAGTGAAGCGGATGCTAGGTTAGTCTCTTTAGTGTTTACTGAGATGAATACGTAGTGAATTTAGAGGTATCTTTTTGTATATGTTATTCTCCTTAACTGTTTTTGTTTCCCATACCATTACTGTTGGTTTACTAGATTGATTCAAATGCAGGCATAAGACCGTAGTTTATAAATTTCATTTAGCTTCTGTTGACTTTGTTATCGTTATTATTACCGTAATTTTAAATCTTGCGAATAACCAAGACTCGCTTTCTTATTTTTCCTCCAGTAACTGTATGCAGCAAATTATTGAAAGTGTGAATTATTGTCATCAGAATAATATTGTACATCGAGATTTAAAGGTTAGTAGTAACGTTTTCGCAGTGTATCACTGTACTCAGCATTCATTATCATTAGTCACGCGTGTTCCACATTTACTTGGATTTTGGATCTTATGTTACGTGTTGTGGACATCGATATTCTTAAAAGCATTCATTCCCTTTGACTCAATAAACTTTTACTTGATCTCTAAATTGCCCATCAAAAGTTTTAGTGTGTTATTTTATGGTGGTGTCTATACTTATTTTTTGTCATAATTTTTTATCTTAAATGATTATAATTACATTTTATCATGTTTTATGTGAAATTTTATGATGAATATTTTCCTAATCACACTATTCACTCACAATTTTACTACCCGGTCCTAACAAAATATATATTGCCCAAAAGTCTCTAAGAGACATGTTTTGCTAATCTTTTGTTCGCAGGATGACAGCAGATAATTTTGTTATTACGTTTTTGTTCTATATTCTGAGTAGCATATATATATATATATATATATATATATATATATATATATATATATATTAATGTTTACTTGGTAGATAAACTCAAACATATCTTATTCGAAATCCCAAGTAATCTGTCAAAGGGTTTTCGGTGAGAATAAATTTTATGGACGACTTTTGAATGATTCTAAATTGACCTTGAGAATGTCCACCTACTAGAAATAAATGATGATTATAAAGCAGTGTGAAAATTAGAATTATGATTTACAGTGGATAGTTAGGGTTAGGAATTCGATTTACGGTTTTCATCACGAACTGACATCAGCTAACATGCCAAAATGCTATTTAATCGAATAGATGAATGGAGTTCGCGCCAAAACCCAATACTTGTTATCTTACATTTGATTGGTGCGTTCATAAATGATAATCTCGCCGGATTTTCGGTTTCGTTTACATTACTTTCTAATCATTTATTCTTTGTGTTATGAGTGCAGTGAAACATCTACCTGATATCCCTCCCCCACGTCACAATCCTAACAAATTATGATATCTGTATCACTATTATCATCCTCTAATTTATATGCATATATTTAAGAGACTCACTAGGTACAAAAAAACGATTTCTATGTGTGTAATTATTGTTTATGTGATTAATGCTCTTGAGTTTAACTGACTTAAATAATAAACAAAGCAATACACGGACAACAGCATTTAGTGGAATGAAGATAAGAGAACACGAAGAGGTTTTACTCTGTTGTCCACGTCGTTAGAACGTTTTAATGGACTCTGTGGATAATGTAAAAGTAACCTTCAAAACACCTTGCCTTGTAACCAAGTTCATTTTTTTATAGTAGAAAGACCTTTTAGCACGTATGTAACAACATCAACAGGTTCCACTAAAAACGTTTATTAGATTTGTTGCAACTGATAGCAGTAAATCATTGTTAAGTAATCTTTGAGCTGTCCTGTACTTAACAAACACATGTGGGTTTTTCATAAAATTGAATTTGTTTTACAGCCAGAAAATTTGTTGCTTGCTAGTAAATCCAAGGGGGCTGCAGTGAAACTAGCGGATTTCGGTCTGGCGATAGAAGTTCAGGGTGATCAACCAGCTTGGTTTGGTACGTTTTTCCTAAACACATACATTTGTTAAATTTTTCAACCAATATGCTTATGTATTTCATTACAAAAAGACATTTTTCCTTCAGTTCACGCAAATACTTTAACAGTAACCAAATTTCAATTCATATTTTTAAAATTAATGTTTAGTAAGAGAACTGATTATCCAACTCAAGTGATTGAATAAACGGTACTTATTTCATTTTTCAAGTGGATGGAGACATATCGATGCTGCAGATAGTATTGTTATGATTAATTTTATCCATGCCTTACAGTAAACTGAGTCGGTTTGTCGTTTCTGTTTGGTATGTTAAATATTTTTCTTGCTTTCATTTATGTTTTACATCACAAAGTTAGCATTTCGCTATAAGATAGACAAATAAATTTCCACCTTAGCCTTATTTGCTTTCTAAAATTTAGTATTTTGAAATAAATATTGTAAATTGTATGATAAACTTGAAAACAACGAGGGATCTACCTCAAAGTAGCTTTTCTAGTTGTTATATGGAGGAATTCTTTCTTTTGCCTTTTCCTAAATTCGTCTCGATGCTTTATAGACGATGAGTCGTTATTGAAGAGTATATGTGGTAAATCTATTAATAATTCACTAATGGAGTTGGCTTTTGCTTTTGATCCGACAGTGATCACTGATCCTTACCTTCTTATTTTCATGTCTAGTTAGAATTTTTTCCTCCCTAACTGTTAATTACCTATCGTTTTCTCTTAAATATATGATTTATTTAGTTAAATACTAGTACTACTCAACTACTGCCCACTTAGAAATATCTGATTTAATCGATTCGACGAACCAGTGGATCTCCATTGACGGTACGAAATTTTTTAAGACCTCTAGATGCAGACAACTTGGTTGAGGCTGAAGACCCTGGGTGACATGAGACAGAATCGATTACAGTAGTGTAGGTGTATACACTCTTTGTCTTCCCCTAAACTGTGAGATTGAAATAACTTTATACCTTTCTTTCTACGAACTAATTCTTTCTCCTTGTATTATACCCTTGTATGAAATGTTTTTTTACTACCATTGTAGTAACTGCTTCTATGAATTCGGTGTTCATCTTGTTGTGTTAATGAGCTGTGGCAACTTGGACCGGTGCATATATGTGCCTGGTCCTATATTGTAGCTGACTAACTTCCCTAATAAGTGTAAGTATCCTCTGTACACCGTTGACCGTCTAATCCCTTTACATACTGATTATAAGGATATTAGTTAATCGATATTTTAGATAACCTTATGAAAAATAAAGGATCAGGAGATCTCAAAAGGTGAGTTTTCACGGATGTTTATGAAACTCGTAGCGAAATCGGTGGATGGTTCGAGTGGAACCTAACTACACAGTTATTTTTGTCACATCTCTAGTGACAACAGTATCATATATGCAATTTTTGTTACTGAAATGCAAGGAAATTCAACAAATTCACAGATTCATTTGTGTTCGTTGGAAAGACGTAAAACATCTTTATCAGAAATTATCTTCGGTGACAACTTTTTTTTCGAATAAATATACACTGTGGCTACATTTCAACGACACTACACTAGCACACGGTTCACACCCATAAAAACTTTTCATACGAAGTATTTGAATAAAAGCCATCAATTACCTCATTTTATGTTGCACATATGGCTCGGTACTCAAATGTCACTTCAAAATTCGATTCTTTTTTTCATTTTTATATGGAAAACTAAAAATGTTTTTAAAAGTCTACTTAAAGTATGAATTGACATCAATCAGATGAGCTCTTCATTCAGTCACCCTGGGCAACTTATAAATCAAACGACTATTCAGTGTGACTGTACAGATAATAATGAGTGTTGGAAAGTATTCGTATAGAAATCAGGAAATCTGACTAGTGACTTCGAAAAATATACCCGGGAAAAACACCTCAGTTACATATCAAGATTAAAGAATTAGTAAAACATTTAAGACTCATAGATAAATAGTACTACTGTCATTTACAGCATACTGTAATATCCAAAATCGTAGTTGTTAGGTACAATAAATGATTTCATGTGTTTTATGCTTGTTGAATTCAGGCTTCTGATCTCTATCGTACTACTGCTCAGGTTGAGTCAAATCCAGGAAACATCACGCCTACTTTCTTTTTTGGATTATTCGTGTGCCAACCAAGTCGTTACCATTTGCATTTCTAAATCATAACTATGGCTAAAAGTCCCATAATATTCTGGTGTTTCCCGAAGTAAGGGCACAATTGTTTCCCTAGGTGGAGTTGTATTCTTGGACCAGTTGGAAAACGTTTTTGAAAGTTACTTTTACATACTTCTCAGGTATATTTGGTGCAGATATACAACTAGTCATCATTCACTTTTATTAACTGGTGTAAAATATGGTTGTGTATTTACATAACTCTTTTCCATCTTTACCTTACATGACCTGATGAACATACCTCATTCAGGAACTCAACTGGTCTGATGTGTAACATCGAACTATTGATATAGTTATCACTCAATCCGCGAGAAAGTTCTCGTCAGCAATTTGTGAACGGAACCTTTTATAAGTAACGTTACAAAAGCAATTTCAATTGTCGCGAACATGGCAGAAGAGGAAGAAATTAATAGACCGACGACTTAGTGAATATAAATTAATACATATACGTATGACGTCCAGTGTTTATTAAAAACAGTGTGAGAGCAATGATCTATGCTTGAAAATATGCAGATATGAAATGGAAAGTAGAAACGTGTATTTATGGTTGCTACATTAGTCTCAACTAAGTATTTTCTCACCTTGTCTGTTTGAATGTGATTATCTAGAAGTCAAAACACCTAACTCTCAACCAATGAGTTGTAGGTTCGGACTTCTCTGCACCTAAATCAGTTTCCATAGCCAAATCATCACTAAGTCGTTCACTAAGATCTAAGTATACATACGTAGTTGGATTAAAATTTATTCAGTGTTTCAGTTTACAGTGCCTTATTCGGTTTTTCTCTTGCCATCTTAACCTGAAAAGTGTTAAAGATAATTATTTTCTGGAAAACTATGTTTACCTGCTTTCCAAATGAATGGTAATATCTTCCCCTGACAAAATTACTCGTCAAGTAGACACGGTCACTACAACTGTTAACGCTATCATAAAGTTTATCTTATCTGTTAAAGACTTAATACCAAGAAAATCTTATGCCACATTTCCTATTATTTGGTGTTTTGTATGCTAACGTTAATCAGCATTTCTTATTGCTATGATTTTATTATTGTTTAGAATGTTATCACACTTTGTTTATTAGTTTTAAACCAAGATAACAACCCACCATCTGTCCTGCCATATTAAAAAATTGTATACTTGTCGAACTGCAGTAATCCTAAAGAAATTAACCATTTAACAACATAAAGGTCAGATTCATCTGCGAAAGCAAAAAGAATTAAGAATTGTATTACCATCAACTAAAAAAACATTGTTCTGGAAACACCAGGCTTGAAACAATTCAAATCTTCACAGTATTCTTACTGGATTAGAAGAAAATAATTCATCACTTAATTCTTGTCCATAACTTCCACGCCACATCCCTTCTTGCCATTTTACTTTTTTTAGAAAATTTCCGACTATTCCTGTGATAAATTATCAGCATCATTTCGAGAAATGTTCAAAATTCTTCACCTACATTTATCAGTAATTAATTCCTCCTGTTCTCGTACAATTGAATGAGGTGTTAATGAAGAAAATACATAATAGACCACTATGAAGTGTTTCCGACACTTTAAAAGCAAACACCACTCATATTTTTCTGTCTTATTAATTAAAACATTTGGTGTCACTTTCCGTGTTATAGGTTTTGCTGGCACTCCTGGTTATCTTTCTCCAGAGGTTTTGCGTAAAGAACCATATGGTAAAGCGGTAGACGTCTGGGCTTGCGGTAAGCTATTATGGTTTTCCATATATTTTCTTTTTTCTGGTATTTATGACTTGCTATTTGAAGTATTCACTACACAGTAATCTCATCACAAAATATACACCCTGCAGTTTCTCTTTTCAACGTGTAATAGAAATTTCATGTTTTCCCAGAAATGTTTGGAAATGTTAACAATTTTTTTATTTTTATGTTTCGTTGTTGTCTCCTGAACAGTTTTAAATCGTATATCAGTTGTGGAATATTCTAAACTGCTGTTTGATTAGTAGTATCTTCTGTAACTTAAAATCCTGGAGCCGAATTATTTCCTGTAGTCAGATATATGTGTACGAAGTAATTATTCACAGTTATCTTATGTATTCTTGTAAACGTATTTGTTTATCTATTTTCTGATTTATATCTCGTATCAAGACGCGCAACCTGTTTTTACAATTATTTAAGGAATAGCTTGCACTTAGCGTTGTTCTGGCACAACATTTCTGACTTCCTGTCCTAGCTTATATCGCTTATCATTAACATACCGGATCTCACCCGAACATTCAAAAGTTTTAGGGATAGTGATAAATAAGCTTAAGGTGTAAACAACTGAATTCTTGTAAATTCTTAGTCAGTCTTTCGGTTAGTAAGCATCTTCGTATTGTTTTTGTATGAAAATAGCTCTGCCAGTCCATAAAACAACCGTAGTATATAGTGTTACTTAGAAAAATCCAGTTACCTCACATTTCCTTTCTATTGAGTCATCAGTCTTATTTCGATTCTCAGTTTCTAGTGAAATGCTAATATTTCATTGACGATTAATGTAACACTCGCAATTAAAATCACTTACCCACAAATTATGATTATAAAATCATTTTCATTCAAATTGTTTACGCTAAAAATTTTGTCGAACCAAGTATGTATTTTTATTATTCCTGCCGAGTCAGTTTTATGTTTTAACAAACAAATCACTGAATATATATGATCCCAATTTACCTTGTTTCTGTTAATTGAAAAAAGGATTATCAAGCACCTCTGCTCACTTAAAAAGTACTCTCTTAAATTCGTAATGTTTTCAATCTCCAGGTGTTATTCTTTACATCCTTCTTGTTGGATATCCACCATTCTGGGATGAAGATCAGAATCGATTGTACAGTCAAATCAAATCGGGAGCATATGATGTACGTAAATAAAAATATATTACTTTTTATCAATTTTATTATTTTTTTGGTTCTTATCTTTGCACCATGTGACGACTAATTAGGTAAATATTACATGTAATTTAGTCTATATTGTACCTTGATTTACTATTTAAATCTTCATTAGAATTACGGTTTTTGAGTTTGAATGAGTTATGATGCTTATTTCTTGACAGATGCTTAATTAAAAAATATAGGAGAATGATTATTTGGTCTAAAAAAGTGAGAAAGGTAGCTACATTTGGCTAAAATCATGTTTGAAATATTGGTAGAAGCCAATTGTTATTTCGTGTTAAAATAATGGGTTATATACGTATTATCAAGAGAGGTGAATAACTCATTGTACTATAACATTTTTCTGTTACTAATCACTAAATGTTATGAATATTGCCTCTAAATAGGACCTGACACAAATGTATGTATGTCGAAGTTCTTACACTTCACATAAAGAAAACAAGTTGGTTGGTGAAGCCTGGTAGGCCCTTCTGGCGAGAAACAGGTCACATCAAAGCACGGTACAACTACCGGGGCTAGAATAGCTGTTTTTGCAACCAGTTGGAGTTTGCCCCGTGTGGAGCGACCCCGTACATTACATGCACCAGTTTTGCCAGTTTTTCGTCGTTTTTCTATCCAAGAGTAATTGTGCTGTGTTTCTTTGTGGGGTTCGTAATCGATTTAAGGGTATCGGTCGAGTGGGTGATTAGCCTGATCTCGAACACCCGGGTCACCGCTCACATTAGTTCATGAGTCATCCGTCCCACATCAACACAGCTTTCGAAATGAAAATAACAAAAAGCCCAAATAGTTACAGTAACAGTGATAGTGAAAGTTCAAACATAGAGGACATTGAAAAGGATAAATGAAATCCAATGATAAGAAGCATACGACAGTATTAAAACCGAAGATCTAGAAGAATATGATAAACTAATGTATTCGTGTCACTCCAGCTGATATCAAGACAAAATGCCTTCTTGGGAGTTCCTTCGCTATCTTTATGGATAAAAGCAATATTGTTCTTTAAACTGAGAAAAATATTGGAAGCTAGGTATTTATTTTAACGAAGAACTTGCATCTTTTTAAACGAAGTGCACATCCTAGATTTCACTGCTGATCACAATCTAAGTATACTAATAATCGGTTTATGTCTAATTTCGTACTATTTGTAGGGATCATTCAAAATGTTAATCACCGCTTATTTATAGATATTGGTTTTTCACCATTTTTAGATGGTGTTACTTTCTATTGAAAGAAATAGTTTGAGTAATTTCCCATGGTGTATACTGGAAATACTCTACCTTACCTCACCCCATGCTGTTTACCTCCTCTTTAATTCTACAAACGACAATCTTATCTGTAAAATATAGATTCACATTAAGCACTAGTAGTTTCCTTGAAAATCTCAATATCCCATTCTGTAAGTAGATATGGTTTTCCTGTTTTCTAATTTTTATTTCATAAAAATGTTTTGTCTATAAAATTGTTTTTTGTCCTTCAATCTCTTTGTATTTTTTCAGTATCCTTCACCAGAATGGGATACAGTTACCCCTGAAGCTAAGAATTTAATCAACCTAATGCTAACAGTCAGTCCTGCAAGGCGAATCACAGCTGCAGAAGCCCTCAAACATCCATGGATTTGTGTACGTTATGAAAACAGATGTTTAGTAGAATTTGAATTGTTTGTTTTTGTATTTGGTTCTTGTTTAGTCTTAAAACCTTAATGTATTATAACCAGGGCAGTAAATCAGCTCATTATAATCAATAGTTTTCAATGGTACCTGCGTACTACTATCTTAGCTTGCAATCATTTAGTAAGATTCACTGCTTATTTGTATTTAATATCAATGACTATGACGTTATGTCTGATACATATAGACAACTGTTTATTTATGTAAATTCACCGTAAGGAATTTTCATACCATGAAATATTTAACAAAAATGCTAAAAACGTTAATGTTTAATTTTCATCACTCACACAAGATCCTCACGAAACTTGTTTAGGTAACTTTCTTCCTACTTATGAAAATTTCCTGAGTTCCTACATTTCAATAGCTGTTTGAGTGTAGATCCAACAGTACTAACCATTTGTATGCATGTTTCGAAAGCTAAAATCATACTATGCAAACGTTGTCCGCCAATACATCGTGCGCAGATCCAATTTCACACACTTTAATTAGTATTCCCATCAAATTGTCTTGGTACTAAGCGATTTCATTTTGGATACACTGGCTTTACGTTAACGATTTCAAACTTAGTTTCGCTGATTTTCTAGTGAATGTATATTTCTAAAATAATATTTCTCTATGTTGAGATTCTTCTTTTTTGTTATATCTCACTAGAGGTAATCACTCCAACTGTGAACCAGTTAAATTGTGTAATTAATTCTCAGAGTAGTGAGGACCTGTTTTCTACCACAAGAGATTCTGAATCACATATGTTTGTGTTTAAGTATATTTATGCAAAAGGCTTTCCTATAAACACTTCAAATAGCCGTATTACTAGAACAAATATGCTCTGCATTTCACATTATTGCATAATATATGCATATAATTATATTATTTCTAATCGTTATATTGTATCCGTATTGAAGTATTTCTCATGGATATCCATGTATCCTTTGTAGTCAAACAATGCTATCTGATATTAATACCTAATACTTCTTTCTTAATCGAGTAATTTGTCCCTTTCTTAGTCATAGTATTTGCGAACGACGATAAAGTAGATGAAAAGTCTTTTTCTTTCATTGATCGTTTTATTTTAAATGTATTGTCCTTTGCCGCTTGTTGTTTACCAAAGATTTCACTCTCGTTTTTATCTTTAATTAATTTCACATTCCAGACCTTAGATGTAAGCTCCAATTAACATATATTTTAAAATGTCATTACTTCTCGGCATTAAATAATGGATTACATGCTCTTACGTTAAAAAAAGGAATTTAACACGATCTCTGGTGTCACGTGATTTCGTATTATTTTAGTTTTCGTTTCAGTTTCTTTTGCTTCGCACAAATCATTACTTTGATAATAGACTTGTTTAGCTTATGGTCTTCCCATCTGTTCTCGAGGGAGGTACAGAAATGGTCACAAAACTTAACAATTTGCTCTGTCCTTTCATGATACTCCTTAACAGTTATTAACGATAGAACACAGCAGACGATTGTAAGCTTCCCTTTTGTGAAACAAGTAGATTCATTTACATAAAGGCTATGCATCAACTGTTATGATTGGAATTTGTATAATTTGTACTACACGAAAATCCACTTAAATTTACTCTGTCATCCTGAGTAGTACATTGAGGAAAAGCCACTGTTCATCCTATTTATTATTTAATTTGTTTCGTGCTACTCAGTTTCTGAAAGTTGATCCCATTTAAAAACAATCCGGACCTCTTGATAATTTCTACCACTAAAATATCATTCTTAGTTTGTACTGAAAGTCAATCATTTACCACACTAATGCTGTCATTCTTCAATATAAAGTTTATCAAGTTAATGTTATTTTTACTTGTTTTAAATACTGGAAGATGGAATACAGTTTTTTGGTTCAGTGAAAGAACGTTTATTCGCTTTTTTATACCATGATATAACTGTTTCATGACTTTCCTATAATAATTTTTATGAGTAACAAAATTCTGTACTTTTGTTTGCTTCTGTGTGTTTACGAAAACTAACATGATCATTCGCTTTGACACCATGCGCGTTATAAATACTAGTGCGTTTGAAGTTTTTGGTAAATTATTTCCTCTTTTTCCTTAGATTAATTCAACAGTTTCCATTTAAATTTAAATGATCACATTTTTGTTCTTTAACTTAACTCTGATAATAATTTGGTGTTTAATCATATATTTGATCAGAATTATGCACCCAGTCCACATAGCTCCTCTTCATCACATCATTATTTGACAAGAGAAAATTCTATAATTAGTATTTGTTTTTCTAGTATATACCAAAACAACCATCATTCAACTTCATGTATGATGAATTTACGAACAAATAAAAACACTTATGTTGTTTTGATGTGGAACAGTTAAAAAGCAATAAAACCCGTGATAACATTTCGATATAATTCAATCACTTTCCTTGCATCAGATCGATAGCCCATTCACTTCAACCTGTGCTCATCATTATCAGTGTCATTGTTTCTATTATTATTATTACTATGGGTTTTGTTGTTAAATGGAAGCTTGGCCATGACCTCAATATCGACTAGATTGTTTTATCCTCTGCTTATTTCTATATTATTTACATACGAGTGTTTTGATTGGGACAAAATTAAGGGAGTGTGAAGTGGATAAAGTAATGGGAAAGAGAAAGTTATTTACGAGATTTTATCCTTCTTTTGATTACATTGAATTCACTTGCTCATATTCTTGTTCTATAACAGTTGATTTTTATGGAATTTTTCACAAATCTGTGTGATGCATATTCATACTTGGTCTTTGTTTGTATAATAGTCTGTAGGTGTCGGTTTCACTTTTGACACGAAACTTGAAAGTGGATCAGTGGCTTATTGATTAAGACATTCAACTTTCGACCACTAATTCCCACGTTCGAACCCTGTCCAACTTTGTTTGGAAAACCGGATCGGATGATGAATTTATATTCTTATTTATCTTCTCGCTACATGAGTGAATGATATACGCTTGTGGAAAATGTTTAACTTTACTAATAAGATTGAAACAATGGACTGAAATAGATCATGTTGCTATCAGTCATCGTTGGAGAAGCCCGATAAAAGACTGCCGCTCGTTAAAGAATATATGTCTAGACTCCGATAGTACTTGATTACAGATGTCTTAGAAATATTATTCACGTCTGGGATCACCGGGTAAGTAATAGTGAGGTTAGATACAGGGTATTAGGTGAAGTTGTGAATCTTCGTCGACTGAGATGGATGAACTAAATGTTATGTATACCTGAACGCCGATTACCACGACGAGCAATGCTGACTACTGTTAGGTATGGTATGAAGAAAATCAGAGGAGGCCAAGCCGAAACGTGGCATCAGTCTTGAAGTCACTAACTTCTAGTTTGAGCCACATTGGTAGATGCAGACTACTTGGTTGGGGTCCGCGCGACTATCTTAACTAATAGTTGGAGACTCTGGCTGACATGGCTCAAAATCGATCACAGTGGCGTAGTTGGTAGTTTTACCAAGAGTTTTTCCATGCGATTTAGGATACATAAACTAAACTAAGCCACATTTTTGTGTAATATTTTAGAAGTCTGTTTTATGGAACAGCAGCGGCTTGCCATGAGCCAGGAGGAATGTCTATAATTGGACTTTAAAAATTGATTATAAGTTCTCATTTATTTATTAATTTGAACACATAAATATTGGTACAAAGGAGCACTAAATACATATGCGCCACACAAGTCACTTAATTTGTGTTTGGGCTGTGATAACATTGAGAATATGAAGAGACAATGTAAGGTGCATATACGAAAAAGGGGAACAATAGCGAACAGAAATTTGTGTACGATAGTGGAGTGATAATGGGAAAAACAGTTCAGTTGGCAAACGTACAACCAGAAATAATTCTCCCAATTAAAGAAGTGCAGGATCGGTTTCCTGTCAGTCTTGTAAAAATACTTGGCATATGGAAGGTTCAAAGCACATACCATACCTACGCACACTAATTGCCGACTGATTACGTGCGGATTGCATGGCTTGGGCATTATTGCACAGTAAGATAATACCATCCGCATACTCAAGGTCGAGAAGTCTTTCTCCAGGCAACGGATTCACATCGTTATTACTTACATCCATCAGAGTTGTTTCCAGAATGTCATCGATAGCAAAGTTGAAGAGGAATGGTGATATTGGACAATCATGTCTAACCCCACTACTTGGATGGAACAATGGAGAGAAGTGTTTGTATATAATGCTTTTAAGATGTTAATAAACTTCTCAGGCACACACTTATTCAACAGACTATCCCAGAGAACAATCTTGTCCAACAAATCGAAGGTGGCGTTGATGTCAAGAAACATGACAATTGTTGGCCTGTGATACGTATGACGGTGTTCTAACGTTTTGGCGGAGGGTGAAGATATGATCAATAAATCCTCGACCAAAACGAAAACCAGTTTGCTCCTCGCGAGTCAATCTTTCTCGGGTTTTGAACAACCTACGAAGTATGATGGAAGCCAAAAGTTTGGACGCAATCATAGTAGACTTATTCCTCAATAGTTGTCATAGAAAAGACGAACCGTTTTTAAAGATAGAGATAATTATCGTCTCATTCCATGATGTTGAAACATTCTAAATGTCAAACGTTTGTAAACAACGTAGTCAGTTCCTTAACCAGAAGGTCGCCACCATCTTTAAAAAGGACCGGAGATATATCATATGGTCCTGGCGATTTGTGGTGCTTCAGGAGTTGAAGTTCCTTAGGGACTTCCGCCTTGCTAGGTGAATTGGTGGTCACAGGTCAGGGTAGGTCAGTCTAATCGATGTTGCCGGGGCAGCAGACCAGTTTAGCTGCTCATCGTTCAAGACGTCGATAGATGTTATTGATTGACATCCAGTCATCACAGATTGTTCCGCCCGTACCAGACTTCTTGCTGCCAGTGGCTCGGAAGAGTTGAAAGAGCTTCCAGCAATTACCTGAAGCAGCTGCTGCCTACAACTCATTGGCACGCTCCGACAACCAGGCTTCTCGGCCCAATTTGATTACGTAACAGTTTTCGTTTGTGGTCGAGCTCATGGTCACTCGGAGTAGACCGATGGTCTTAAATATCTATTTGTACACATAAATATTGGTACAAAGGGTCACCGAATACATATGCGCCACACAAGTCACTTGATTTGTGTGTAGGCTGTGGTACTGCCCGGGTGCCCAAACCGAAGCAAGTGGTTTTCTTAGGGAGCCTTCGACCTAAAGGTCCTGATCCACAAGGCAGTGGAGCATCGTAAGGAGATACAGTCCCATGGTAGCCGGTGACCAACGATTGGTTCATACGTCATTTGTTCCCTCAGGATACTGGAGCCGATGTACACCATTGGTTTGGAATCAGGGTTTCCCAAAGCGCTTTTCGTCCTCTCAATTCCGTAAACAACACTCACGTGATATGCAAACTAAGCGTTAACTGTTTGAAACTATTAAGTCACGCGTTGTGTTTTTCAATTAAATATACATAGAAATTTAACATACTCCACTATCGATATAGTGGAAAACCACCTGTTTCGGCCTGGGCACCAGGGCAGTACCACAGCATACACACAAATCAGGTGAATTGTGTGGCGCACATGTATTCGGTGACCCATTTTACCAATATTTATGTGTTCAAATAAATAAATGGCTAATTAATTGCTTATCTCGTAGTGAACTTGAATCATCGAAACTTTCGTATTTTCAGACAAAATATATTCTAAAGCGCGATAATCCGAGAAAATTCAGATTTCCCAATGTTGTTTACTTGCGCTAAAAAAACATTTAGATCACATCTATGACTCGTTCGTGTGTGGTAGTAAATTCCTGTTCAAGTCCATTGAGTGGCTTGGTAAATTGTGGAAAAATTAAACCTAACACATCAAGGCTTAAGTATCCTCAATGAGATTCGTACTAGCTAATAAATTGTACTGATAAATAATTACAAATCAATTGTTTTGTACATGTGAATCGTATTAGATTCGTTTATCATTGTTGCACCCTTTCATGTAATCCAATCAGCTCATAATTATATTGTCTTTCCAAAATAATAGTATATATATATATATATATATATATATATATATATATATATATATCAGCTCACAAATGTAACCCTATTTCTCAACATTCTTATTTATCGTACTTATACTTGACTTTTTATAATATCCTGACAATCCTTACTAGGATATCTTCGCTTGCGTAGCATTACCTCCAAGCCACAAACATCAAACCTTATAAATAAATTCATTCATACATGTTATACCTTTCTATCAGCGGTTTTAAAAGTGTTTACAAACCAACTGGAGAATGGTTTTATGCTGTATTTTGTCTAAGGCGCTAAACTATTAATGATTAGCTTTTCTTAATATTAATGTTAGAATTCATTTATTTACTTTGTAGTACATCACATGATTGTCACATTTTAAGCGTAAATCTTCTCTACTCTGGTTACGTCTATATTTATACATTGTTTTCTTATCTTTTACGCGCGCGTGCACGCCTTAACAGGAATTTTTGGAAACAATACGATTTCACACTAATATAAACTCTTAATTTACAACATGTTAATAATGTTCCGTTGAACTAACACTTACACAACCCAAGAAGGTTGTGTTGTTTTTCCTAACTCATCACCTATTAACCACAGAATATGTTACCTTTAATGTATTCAAAAATTTGACTATCCTACATATATATTGTTGTGTTTTAATAATTGAATTCTTAGATTATCACCACTTTTGTTTGTTTCTTCTCTTTTGATGGTACCCTATCATAGAATGCTTAAATATACATTTATATATATATATATATAAAGCTTGGGCCATTGACTCGTCATTTTTAAGGCATTCAAATCTATGAAGAATGTATTTCAGAATGGTCTGGGTAATTGGTTTCTTTAGGTGAGTACATCAAGTACGCGAAGACAAAGATTCACGATGTAGTTTTCTCAATTTTTATGACGAATAAATCGACCAAGTTAAGGTATAGTAATACTCTAACTTGATGCCTAAATTGAGCTTCTTTTGGTCTGCCTTATTTGTTAGTAACTTTGCTAAATTAAAATGGAACCCAACAAACAATCTTTTGTAATGAGTAAAGTATATATAACTGGATTCCTACCATATCTTAAAACCCATCTTCACGAATTATTCTGGAATTGCTGGTCCGATTATCTAAAAGTTTGCCACTTATCTCCGAATGTGCTGAATAACAATTCGCCACTGATGACAATAATAAGTAGATCATTTTTAATTAACCCATTAACCTCACTAATGATTTGTATAGTACTACTTCATATTGCTTTTACGTCCCGTCTCTATCAACCAACTTATCGAATTCTAATTTCTTTCCTTGATAGCAACGAGAACGTGTCGCTTCCCTTGTGCATCGTCAGGAGACGGTGGAGTGCTTAAAGAAATTCAATGCACGACGTAAATTGAAGGTATGTTTTTTTCTATAAATCTAATTGCATAGTACTCTACTTAAACTGTGAATATGCTTGCCTCATAAGTTCTTGTTCATGTCTGTACAGAGTTATAACCTCTGAGATATTTCTAATGCAATTTTTCTATCCAGTTTAAAGTTGTTTTTGGATTTCTGTGCATGTGATAACCATCTAATAAGTATAACCGAAGAGTTGCTGCTTCATTTCGACCAAATGTTTATTTGTTTAAGCTTGGTGCACTGGGGGCATAAATGTAGTTCAACTGGTTGTATCAACGGAATCGTGATAAACCTACATACACCAACCGGACACAACTATCCGTCATTTCTCTGGATAGTGTTCATTGAGCATAAGCGTCACGCATACACTACTCAATATGCACTTCACTGGAAGTTTACACATTTATAGTTCCCGAACCGTTGACATCTGTGTTTTTTGGGGTGAATTCACTGGGTAACAATTTCCATCAAATAATAATAATATATTCTAAAAATAATAATTACAGAATTCATGCCAGTTTACAGGCATGACCAGTTTGATATAGATAGTACTATTAAATGTAGAAGATGTATGGAATATTAGATTGTTTTAAGTTTTCTAGTTCAAAAATTGTTTAGATAGTACATATTTCACATGTATTTCAGCAATGAAAGTCTTTAGCCGGTAGCATTTAGTTCTTTTTAAGTAGACCTGTTGATGTATGGACGGTGTATTTAAAATCATTTCCCGCCCTATAACGAATTGATTGTAATCATCTACAACTAGAAAATAAAACACAAGTAGAGAGCACGGAACAACAAATGTAATGTTTACTACGATAGGTCAGTCAGTCAGATTTGAATGTAAAGTAACATCAGTTTGTAATAACGACTAAACATTTAAGTATCCTATAATCTCACTTGCGGTATGGGATATACTTACAGATGTAAACAAGCTTCAAGCATTTCCAGAGGAAAAGTAGGCATCGATGCAGTGGACAATGAATGGGATTGAATTTTTTTTTAAGGGTAGATTGTGGTAAAATTTTCCAGAGTAAAAAATTTCCTAATAAAGTAATTCATATGGAGAGAAGATTTAGAATGAGATGGTTTCACTAATTACACAGAGTCACAGATGCTGTAATCAGAAGATTCTGCATATTAAAATGCTTCATTAGATTTAAATGATAGTTTATTAAATATTTTAAAGATAAAGGTGAGTTTTGAATTAAGTCTCCTTTTCCACTAATGGTCGAGTCCAAATTTATTACATCTGGACTTATAAATAAAAGTACAACAATCCCAAGAATGCGATATACAAATCACCTCTGAACGGATTCCAACCTTAATTTATCCTTTATGTGAACAATACTAATAATAACAAAAGTGCAGTATTCTGGGATTAGTCGAACACGTATTTGCACATTAAAATACGTGACTCGTTATGAAGATTACAAATTATGCAACGCAGAAGACGTCGGGACTTGGAGGTCTGTTTCAAGACCTGTTCTGAGAAGGACAAATTGTATGAATACCTGAGTCCTAGATCCACTACTCCATGTAACATGTATAACACCTTACTTTTTATGGTAATGTCGAGGTTTAGTGAAGTATTGCCAAAGTATATACATCCAAATTTGGTCTTGTTAAGCTCCAAATGCCATTTTGAGTATCACTGGACCAATTTGCTGAGCTCCATACTGATGCAACTTGGCATATTGCTCGGCTCATGAGGATAAAATGAATACATCACTTTAAGGTCACCTTATTATGGAAGAGGCTTGCCCATACAGAAGCAGTCGCGAATATCATTTACGTAAACTAGTTAGTTATTTTTGCAACTGTCATAAAGTCGTTTGATTCGAAGTAACGTTTCTCTAGGTGTCTTAATTTACCACGATATTTAAGTGACATAAATAATTGGTTGGGCTTACTAAACCTGTACATTTGAAGGGCCGCGTAGGAATCTAAGCAAGAGTTGGTGATCTAATAGAATGTGTCAAATCAAATGTTACGTTGCCTCAAGAATGCTTATTGCCTAACGAGAAAATATTTTCCTGTCATATTTCGAATAACAACGCTCGTTGAAGATTCCCATCATAAAAGCTTTATGCAACTATACTCCGTGTTGTGTGGAGTGACCAGCATATATAAATGTACTGATTAGTTGCATATAACTGTTAATTTGGTATTTATTAGACTCTTAATCAGATATTCTTGTTATAACTGTCACAAATCCATTTACTGAACTGAGTTTAATACTACTACTTTTTAACTATACTGCGATTCTCTTAAGCATTCGATGGCTCAAATTTATTTTACTTTATTCAATAATAATTGAATTCATAGATTATCACCACCTTTGTTTGTTTCTTCTCTTTTGATGGTACCCTATCATAGAATGCCTAAAGATACATTATATAAAGTAATAGTATTTATAGTCTAAACAAAACCTTACACTTTATATTGAGTGTGTGCAGTTTCATGTTATCAAATTTTATACTGACTGATTACTTTTATTACCGAAATCTTGAATAAAAAATGAAATGTAATTGTATTTGTTCAGTCAGTGTTTTGCTTGTTTGTCATGTTCAATCTTCAGACCAAGATATTCTTAACTAGTTTTTAATTGACTAGATGTAATATTACATAGAGTCATCTGACCTCAATTATAAGGCTAGTGTTCGACCACCATAATCATTTACTGAGCTTATTGCATGTACTTGATGAATAACTATCTATATTTATTATATCTCATCATCTTGAATAATTCGTTTGTTCTCTATTTACTTAACCCATCTGTATTTAAAGTGTAGTAATAGCTTTTTCATCTAAACTTTCTCCTTAATAAGTAGTTACAACGCGTTTTATTCCTCACTGTCTACGTTAGATCGAACTCAATGGTAAAACTTATTAATCGTTTTTCAGAGTGTTGATAATTGGCACATTTATGTGTGTGCATGCTTTAAACAAATATGGTTATCTACCCATTTAACAGTTTCCTGCTTTCTGTTTTTTTTTCGTTTTTAGGGTGCTATACTTACGACTATGCTAGCCACACGCAATTTTTCTAGTAAGTTCACTTTTCCAATACTGATAACTAAATGTTGGTCTCATAATATATTTTTGACCTCTTCGAATCCATTTCATGTCTCTATGCATTCATTATTAAAGTATACTTGTATTGTTGGGTGTATGAATTCATTAAAATGTTATTTGCATGTAGTTTTATTTACCACAATCAGATTTATTAATATCACGTCTCATTTGATTTGTTTTCTATTGTATTTTTGCATGTTTTGCCTCTGTTTTTTATATGAATCTATAGTGAAAAAGGATGACAGTTGTAAGTTTTTTTTTTTTCAATATCAATGCATTTGTTTTCATATGCACTTTTGTTAATTTTGATTGCATGGCTGTTTACGTAAGTGCTTTCATAGTGTACATACAAAATCGTGAACTATATATATATATATATATATATATATATATATATATATATATATATTATTGGATAACTCCTTCAGAAATATTTGTAAAATAAATACGCTAACTGTTTTTCACGATCAAGTCTCGCTAGGTTAAACGTTCAGTGTTGTTAATTATATTTTCCATTTAAATGTAGTTTGTCGATAATGGTTTTCTAAAAACGGGAAAGCTGAGTCTTTTTTTCGCTTCACAACTAACTGGATTCTAAATTATTTCCCATTGTTTCGTATAAAAATTCCTGTCATTCGTACGGTGTACAGTTATCTATAAGTATCTTTGTAACTTACCCATCACTAGCTAGTACTTAACAGTTATCAATGTGTATCATGTATGCCGTTTTGCGTAGTTTCTGTTTTCTATTTGTTTAATCACATCCAAAAATAAACTTTGTCATGTCTAGTTTCCATGTTGTAATATTTAGTTTTCTTCCAATTGTATTATTAGGTATTTTTCGTAGAATTTTACTTTGTATTTTGTTGATTTATACTCTTTATAGCTGGTCGGGGTACCGTTCCAGGAAGTCATACTTCTGTAACTAAGAAGTCTAATGATGGTATTAAAGAATCATCTGACAGTTCTACTGCAGTAATGGAGGACTCAGCTGATATAAAAAGTTAGTTCTATTAGATATGTATAACTTCTGAAATCTCCATTTTAATGTATATTAATTCCATTATTGTCAGTGATTGTAGTTGTCAATTTGAACGCAAACAAAGATTTGCAGAATAAAATAAATTAATTCTATTTCAAGGTTTGTCATTAGATGCAGGCAGCTTAAATTAAAAAAGAATAATCTGATTAAGAACAATGAGTTGATGAATTCTGACCAGTGAATTTAGCATGGATTCTCCAAACAGGACAAATAATCATAGTATTAAGAAGAAACAGAGTATAGCATTAAACATACTTGAAATTGACTCATATGCTAAAAAAATAATAGCGATGCAAAGTTGGCAAAATGTGACTGTAGTTACTAATAGTTTATTAAAAATTGATTATGTAACCCAAATAATATTGATCAGTGATTACAAAGTTCAGGATAGGCCGACGTTATACTTAATCTATCGGTTTGTCTGTATGATTGGTTGTTGAATTGGAATTGAACGAACAAAACTGATTAGTTTTCGCTAATACGAAGTTTCATTTCTTTGCTTCCAATTTGATTTCTTTTATTTTAAGAATTATTGGCATGTAGTACCATTGTCAAAGCAGAGTGCTCTGTTGAAAGTGAGTAAACATAAGCTAGGTGGTGTTAGGTTACTTAACTTTTTTTTCTTATCAATGAAAGATGAGGAACAAGTTGATGCACGTTAAATCTTCTGTTTCACACGTATTGTCTTTCGCTTGTAGTTGTTTATAAATCCCTAGTTTGTAACTGTTCATTTGAAGTGCTTACTTTTGTTTTCAACAAAATATATTTTTCATTACAGAAGTTAACATAATAACGGAACAAACATTCGTGCATCATTGTATGCTGTTTATATTGTTCTGTAAACTTTACTGCATGTGCTGTTTGTCTTATCTCCCATGATACAATAGAGGTTATGAATACTTAACAGTTATTGTTGCTCAGTAAATGTTTCAGTGTGGAATGATTATTTTCCACAATATTTTTACCTGACTGCTCTCTCCTCCATAATATCTTTCTTAAGAAGTGTAGATCATTTTTACGTCTGTTGTACTATAATATGGTAAAATGGGATTGAATAATGAGTTAGTGAACTGTTGTTATTTAACGATCATTCAAGTTCAACAAATGTAATTAGGGTTAATTCAATCATGAATAATGGGTTTTAACATACAACGTCATCTGTTGTTTAATTATTACTAGTATGATCTGTTTTGTTAATTACATCTTACCTATTATCTATTTATCTAATGATTTTTATCTATTATGATAGTTTTAATAACCTGACCACGAATAATAATGAGGTTCCAATATGTTTTTTTAATGGTTCGTTAAGTATTATATTTAATTTAAACATTGTTTTCCTAATTAAGCAATATGCTCTATTAATCAAATTAAGTATTTTCATCCAGGCGTTAAAGGTATTTACAAAGTATCTGTTTTCATTGACTAATTTAATCGAAAACGTAGTATTATCACGAAATCGGTTTTACGCATTCTAATCCCTGTCAGTTTAAGCTAACACAATGTCCTGTGTTATCGACAACACTTGGGGCTTGCAGTAATCGTGATCACATATGCTCACCGAAATTCAGATATCATAATTTTAGGAGAATACGTCAGTTTTCATCAAACTTTAGATAAAGAATTGCTGTTTACCTATCTAACCTAACGTAAAATAAACCGATAAAAATATGTCATTTCTCACATGTGAATTGTAATTTGTTAATTATTGCCTACTTAGAAATAAATTTGGCTATTAATTTTTAGTTTTTTGCCCTATCTCTAGTATATTGTCACATTATTTTAAGATTCCTTTTCAATTAGTTGAATATAAAACAAGTTTTTTGTAAATTTTGAATGTATTCCCAGTGTTACAATGTTTTACATGATATTTCCAATGTATATCAAACTTCTGTGCATGACCACCGAAAATATTACAGTGGTTAGATTTGCATGCATATACTCGATCTTTTGATAAATTAGCATATGAAGTTATCGTCAACATAATTTTATCTGTCCACTAACAATCTACCCAATTAATGTCGTGCATGATGTGAATAAAGCTAAAAACACACGATTAATTAAAATAATTATTTGCAATGAGTAATTGACTATTCATTCTCGTTTAAATGAAAGACTTAATTCAAAGAATCATTTTTTCCCTTGTTTTATTTCCTAATAAAGCTAATAATTAATGAGGCCAGATATAGTATTTTTGTGAAGTCATTTCTAATTTTTTCTATAAAACTTTTAAGCATTCACAACATAACTAGAATGTATCAGTACCTTATTCTAAAAGTGTTCACATTTAGACGTATAAAATGCATCCTCATGTACATGCTTAATTATCAAGTGTTTTTCCCACTTCCTGTATTTCGTTTAAAGGCTAATAGACCCATCATGAACCTCTCGCTATTGATTACGACAATATTGTTAGTCCAACTACGTACTTTACGGAAACATAACATGTATAAGTAAAATGTCTGCAAAGTACTTACTAATCAAAAACCTTAGAAATAATTTTTTTTAATGCTATACAGCTCTTGATTGTTTGAACATTGAACAAGTATTGACTTGAAATAAAATTATGTCGTTACCTTACACCATCTAATTTATCACCATAATGGAAAATTCTTCACAAAAACTAATATCCGAATTCTGTCAGTGTACATCCGTAACAAAGTAACCAAACATCTTTTGATCATCAATCACTATTTTTAATTGTGAGCTGTAATTAACGTCAGTTTCTCCTTTTCATTTAACATTGATCTCACTTGTTAAGGCGTTCGACTTTTATCCCCTATGCTTCAGGTTTGAACTCTGCTCTGTGTACTTCTGTTTAGCCAAATGGGTAGTATCACTGGCTCAAAGTTGGGCGTATACTGAAACTTTCATCCAGTTCAACAACACTGTTGGAAAATCTTCCTGATACCGATATTAGTTTGGTGCCCCTGTATTTTTCACACTTGCTCGGATCTCCTTTCTTTGGTTTATTGATGAAGTATTCTTCTTTCCTGTCCGTCGTCACTTGTTCCTTCTTCAAAATCTTCCTTAATAGAACGTGGAGCATCTTTGAAGTTTCTTCTACGTCTGATTTCAGTGCTTCAGCTGACATACTGTCAGGTCCTACTGCTTTCCCACTCTTGATTTTTTTTAGAGCTGTTGGTGGAGTGATACCTTTAGGAAGGTCTGTATGTACTGCTTCGACGTCCGGTGTGGTCAGTGTACTGAACTATTTATTAGTTCTTCAAGGTGCTTTAGCTACCTGTTTTTCTGTACTTCAATCTCACTTACTGCCTTGCCTTCTTTGTCTTTGACTGGTCTCATAAAGTTGCTTAGTATTTCCTTTTCTTGTAGCTTTTTACTCTTTCATTGCTAGTCCATGAGACGACATGGACTGGGACAGATACGAAGACCATTTAAATGGCTTTGTACTGCACCTAAGTTGGCTTCGGGATCATTCTCTGTCGAAGCCTCACTACTCAAAGATTTACGACTCTAATATGCTCGCCAATACATAACCTTAGTTCTAATTCCTTTTCAGCTTCTCTTTTTATTTAGTCTTTAAGCGCCAAGCAATTACGGGAAAGAATCTGCCGATCCCTTCAGTTCATGTCCATTCTGTAATATTAAGTATTTTTCATTGGAAGATTTAAATACCACTTTTAGGAGACTAGTTTGGTTTTCCTTCAAGTCCGGCTACCTAATCTACAAATATTCAGCAAGGTGACTCCAGAGATATCTTTAGATATTACCTGGTTGAGTAGATCTTTTATCAATATCAGTGTCATGCTCAACGCGAGTTCTGGGTTCTGAGAATTTCCTCTCTTTAACTTTATGGAAGAAAAGTGATCTGTCACTATGGTAACTCCAATTTCTCAACTACTGACGGAGAGACTAGTACTTGATCGTTTCTTATTCTTAATTCTTACCCATTCATCAGCTTTCACTGAAGTAGCATTCGCAACTGTAAAATACTGGATGATTGTTGATGACTTGGGTCTTCAGGTTGTTATTTTTTCTGGTACAAACAGATCTTGTCTTACGATTGGTTTTCCTAAGCATTTTCTGACTGCTGTTACTTGGATGATGGGGATAAAAGATACCTCCTACTTGAGTTTCTGACAGAACTATTTTAATTGGGTCGTTCATCCTTTGGCATATGTAAGTTAATCGACATTGAGCCTATTTGGAATGGTTTTACATCGATTCGTGTGTCGACAGATTATTTATCATTAAATTCATCTTGTTATTATACCTTCGAGCAGTGTTTACCATTGCTGTAGCTTCAATCAGCACATTATTTGCGTCCATGCACCATTACTAACACAACCAGACGTATCCATTTTTACTTAAATGTTTAGAAGCCGCAAGTGTTAGATTCTTGAAAACCTTATGGTACCATCCTTTGCACTCATCACACTGCATGCCACTTTCCACATGTTTCGATAGCCATGGTATTGGTAATTGCTTCTTTTGTACTGTTCAGTCATCAATCAGTGGTTTTCAAAGAAATTAGACAAGAAAGCTGATAACCAGAAAAGGTGAAACAGCGGACTGTCAAATTCAAAGGGGTAACAAAAAAATAAATGTACTCAATAAAAGGGCAGATGTAAAATTGCTTCTGAAAAAAACTTGGTGATACTTTGACTGAAATTCGTTAAGTTAAAGTGAAAACAGTAGTCTTGGTGTGTAATACACGATTTATACTATCAATTTAACTCTTAAATAACTAATCTGAAACAGCCTCTAGTGGATTAACTCCTGAGGTCTTTGAGGATATTTGTCCAGTTTTAGCTGGTAAATTGACGTAGATTTCAGTGGAGTATGCGAACTAGAAGTAGTCCTGTCTGGCTAGTCAAGATCGCTTATCATTATTTAGAATGGAAATACCTCCTAACTCTCAGACATAGTTGTATTTTTCGACCTTAAAGCAGCATTCAGTTCTGTAAACCGACAGATTTTATGTCAGTTTTTGTCTC